AAAACAAGAGCATTTGGCCACTCATCCACAAAGTTGGCAGCTCAACTCGATCGGAAACCTTTGTCGTGTCCAAAAGTATTGAGCAAGACACAATGTTTATGTACACACTAAAAACACTTGGAAAAACTACTAATCTACTTTGTTAAACAGATATTAGTTTGATTCACCAATATATAGGTCAGAGTGACGAGTTGGAGCTACGGCTACAATACTGAAGATTGGTTGCATTGTCTCAGAAGCTAAGCAGGGCAGGGCCTGGTTAGTACTATGATGGGAGAACTCTGGGGACACCAAGTGCGACAGTGAGGCAGCTGAGGCTCTAAAGTGCTGAGCTGTTGTTGTGTCCTCAAGCAAGACACTTTGACCACAAGTGTGAGTCTGGTGTGTGGGTGATAGGTGAGTGATTGGAGATAGATCTGGTCAGCACACTTTGGAGCTATGACCAAAACAGAATGGTTGAAAACATATTCATTTAGATATATTGTTTTAAGAGATTGGTTGAACAAGCAAACAACCAAAATCTGTTTATAGCTGTCTAAGCGTTGTCATATTGGATTCATAATTCTCTCTGGACCATAATTTGTTTCAGCTTTCGCAAGACTCCTGATTATAATGTTTTGCATGTTACCAAAGTTATTGTTCGTTAATGACATCTTTTACGACAGCAGCCTTATATGCTGTGCCTAATTGCTGTTTCACTTGCTGCTGTCAAATCAAGATAACATTTGTTTCATATGAAGCCACAAAAACATACACCATGTGATTATAGACTGTCATACAGATTATTGCTGACTTCATGTTTGTTTACTCCCGTATGAATATGTGTGTATGCTCCAGCAATGAACCGTGTAATCATTATATTAACTATAATATAATTCAAATGTATGGGTATGCATACAAAGCAGAGCTTATGAGTGTAGGGCAGTGGAGGATTCCCAGAGGTAGTGACTCTGGGGAAACATGTTCCAGACAGTTATTCATGTTTGTCGCTGAGTGTGAAAGCTATTAAATAATCACTATATGCAGAAAGAATACATAAAACATACAAACACTAGAAAACAATTGCATTAAGTTAACTTATTATGTCAATAGTTGTTAATTAATATATTAGTAGGGCGAGAGTAGGTAGAGCAGTTGGTAGAGTATTGGCCTTAGGGCCTGAAGGTCGTGGGTTCAAGCCCACAACGGGACCTACTCCAACTGCTCCCACTGATGTCTGCTGTCGTTGTGTCCTAGGGCAAGACACTTAACCCCACATTGCCTGAAGCTCCCGCTGAAACACCAAGGCTGTGGCACTACTGAAGTAGCAGCCATCGTCCTGTGGACTCACCACCTGCAGAGGATCTGCGAGGGACTGGTGCTATGAGCATTGACTCAGAAAGGAACTAATAAAGGGGTAGAAAATGAATGAATGAATGAACTAATATATTAATTGATTTCATTGTTTTTTGAACTCATGACTCAGATAATTCTGACTGACAAACAACTCAACGCGTAAGAAGTACTAATCTATGATTTCTATGAAGATGTCCTCCAGAGACCTTCCCTACTCTGACGTACTGTGACTACCTCACTGTGTGCTCACAGTATTTCAGGCGAGGGACGATTGGGTCTGACCGTTCTGGCTCCCTTCCTCATCACAAATTACACTGCAGACTTTGCACACAACCCCTTATACAAAAGAAGTTGGATGTTACCGCTGTTGTGGCAAGTGTGAAGTGAAGGGATAAAGCAGAGTACATTGGGGTGGTGGCTGCTCCTCTGACTGTAGCAAGACCACCGTAGTCCTCTGAACTAATCACCGCAGTTCACACAAGCCTCAAAAGTTGTCCTCTGACTTTCAATAAAGGCAACTGTCTTGTTCAACTAACGGTTATATAATGTTGGAGTGGCACTAGAAAAACACAAAATTGCACTCACATAATCTGTGAAACAGTGAGGCAGCGAAAGGTGAACGTTTTGGTGAGGGATCACTGTACTGCGAACAAACTTATCTAACTATAGTTTATTCATCACAAAAACGTTGGAACATTTCCACCACCTGAATGCAGCTATTATTGGCCAAACCTCTTTTCACACAATTTGAAGCAGAGATGGCCTGTCAACGTGCACTCACACATCGCAATCTTTCTTCCAGGTTCAATCAATAAAATATTTCAAGCTGAGGAGTTTTTTACACCTCTACACCTGGACTCTGACATTTTAATATTTCTAAGTAATCTGTAGCTCACACAAGCCCTTTGACACATTGCATCCCATTGCGGTTCTGTTTGAGTTTGCCAAAAAAAACTATGAAGTGAAGCTTTTGTAGACATCTGGGAGCACACATGAGAAAGATGAGCAGATAGGATTTTTTATTCATTTGTTCACAAAGTGCATACCGAATATACTTTTGTTCTTCCCTTGCTCTACGTTTGTGAAAGTTTAATAAATGTGGCCCAAGGAAAGAGCTGCAGCAGATGGAAAAGATGATTTATATTGGCAAACTTTAAGGAGCAACACGCCGTTTATCAAAACAATAAAAAATCCGGGCATTGCCTTCAGATAAGAGAAGTGGAAGAAGTGAAAAAGTGATGGAGACACGATCTCTGGCTGCCACAGTAGTAAACCCTTCCCAGATGTCTTGAAGCGAGATAACACTTACAGACTGCGACTTCAAACCAGATCTGTTTATATGCTGCTGTTGTGGCGAAACACGGCGTTCCCTTATGGCACAACAGTTGGTGGAGTTAGCGCTATAGCATTGAGGCTAATTTCCCATGACACTTCCGCAATTTGGACATGCATCTGCTCCCTATAAGTCTGATTGTGTTGTACAGCCAGTGTTTACAGCCTTCTCTAATCCGTCTTGATGTAGCGGGACCTTCCTATGATGTGGCGCAATATTCTGCAGCTGAGTCATTTGGAATTGGCGATAAGACACGGAGCAGAGGATATTACTTGTGGGGAGATGGTGATTGAATTGGCTCAGAGGGTCAAATGCACCTAAATGACAGTCGCAGCACTAGACCCCTGTAATATGCATTTATTTAGGAGTGCGGAGAAGCGGTGGGCGGATGCGATGATGCAAAACACCAGAGGTAAAAAGCACGAGAAGCAAAAGAGTCACTAGATTGTGTGAGTGATTCATGTGGAAGAAGACAGAATACGCAGATGAAAAGGTGGTTCCAGGGCTCTCAAGGATTGCTGCAGACAAAAATGTGCAACTTGAATATATATTCTAAAAATTGATGGATGGAGGCAAGCAGGACACAAGTACTCAATGCAAATTAAAATCTAAACCAATTTTCCGAGGCTCAAAATATCAATCAGTTAGTAAATCTCAATGGCTTTTTAGTAAGGGGCTTCTGGCACGGTGGCTGAGTGGTTAGCACTTTCACTTCTCAGTAAGAAGGTCCTGGGTACAATAGCTATGGGTCCAGGACTGCCGTAAAAAATAGATTCTGAAATCACAGTGGGACTCCTGGTTAATTAAATGTCCATAAATAAAATATAGAAATAAGAAGATTATAGATGGCACAATTGGAGGGCCTCAGCGGTAAATGTAGCACTTTTTTCAGTGCTACAATGCAATTCAAACATCTTGGCGTGAGTCTGCCCTTTTGGTTAGTGTTAAGATAAAGAGGATAGAAGATAATGAGAAGACTGAGAAGATAATCTCAGTTTAATGTGGGCCAATTCAAAAGCTAGCCTGAGGCCCAGTAAATGTGGGCACAGGTTTTCAGCTAAAGGCATGGTAACAGTGGAATACATTAGAGATATCTTTAATACATGTATGTATATATAGGGTTAAAGTTAAGGTTTCCTTCATGACACAGAAGAATGATATAAAATTAGAATAGAGTAGAATAGAAAGAAAACTGAAAATGCTCATTTTAATCAGAAATGATCTTTATCTTTATTGTCTTTTTCTGTTAAATCTTGAATTTAACATAGGAGTTGGAAGTGAGTTTTATTTTGGGCTGACATTTGTGAACTTGCAATTGGAGAACGCTCACACCTCCATCACCAAACAACGGTGGCGTGTGACTAATGTGAGTCAGAAACTTTGTGACAGAAATCCTTAAAAACTGTTGTGTTTTCTGACACCGCATGAGAAGCCAGGGCAAACCAAAAACTCCAACATTTACCAACTCCAAAATAATCTTTTTTGAACCCTCAGGCCACTACATTTCAAAGTGTTGCACGCTTGGCTGGACAAAATGCTTATTCTCCAGGAGACACATGAATGCTCAAGGACATCGCTAAATGGGCGTAAAACAACAATCTATTGACCGTATTTTTAAAAACATACAATCAGAGTGCTCAGAGCATCTGCTTTCATTAGTGAGAACATGCTGTAGCTCTCAGACAAGGATACATGGTCCCAAACAAAGGATTTTTATGATTGAGATCCACATCCATTGCCACTCTAAATCCTTTTATAGTCATTGCGTTACGGACATATTAGGTAAAGAAGAAAATATTCCCCAGGGCCACTGTTTGTGAGTTGTTATTTGGAGGATACCCATTTATATTGAAATGATATTTTTATTGGGTTAATTCTTGAAATGGTTGCAGAATCCTAAACCCAAAGATTGATCGCACGGTGTCTCTGAAAAGTAGTGAGATAGTGTTATGACGTTATTCATTGGAACTCAAACATTGTAATATTCCGTTTATATTTGTGTGAGCAATGGTAACATCCAGGTTTCATTGCTACAGAAATGTTCTCTAAAAGAAGTAAGAAGCTGATGAATATAAAAAAGCCAAAAAAGCCATTAAGGCCCGTTTATCAACTCAACTGAAAACCAAGAAAATGACCAGTTTTGTAACTGTCTAAGAGCAGAGGATATCATGCAAAGCAGCAGTTGTCTGTGGTTTTCATCTAACTGAAGAAACCAACTAACATGAAACATGCAAGAAAAATGACGATAATGTCAGCAGGAACCCAGCTCCTCCCTTGATGGACATCTATCATGTGCAAGGAAGCAGCTCTTTACTGTATGACGTGCACTTACCCAGCGGTGAAGACGTGATTGAAGTGGCTGCAGGATCGGCGTCTCCCTGGAAACGAGCCAATGCTTCTGTAGTGAACTCTGCCCCAGAGGAGGCGGGCAAACCGTGGAGGACCCTGGATCTGAAGGGATGAAGCAATGATCTTCTGTATAAAGACAAACCTGAAAGACAGAATATTTTTTCATTACAGCATTTACCAACTGAACAAACTCGCAAGTAAATAGAACTACCAGTTTGACATGAATGCGTATAAACAGCCCTGAGATTTTCAGAACTTTCATATTCTTTAAAGCTGGCAGTTGGCAGAACTCTCAAAAAACAAGCTTTTTCTGAAAGTATATACAGCATACAGGATATTGAAGTTTATTTTGTACCTTGGGTGGGAATAATCTGACAGTGCAGTACAGTGAATCAAACCCAATTTAAAATCAGCAGGGTTTTACATATGCAGTAGCGTTAATGAAACAAAATGTCAAAGTTGATTGTGTTACAACAAAAGATTAGAAACTCTATACCAATTTTGATATCACACTAGTTATCAAATGCTCTATTTGGACAATAAACTGTGATTTTATCTTTAAAAAAAACTTTTTTATGATGCAACAAGGTTTTTCATAAATTCTTCTGATATAGTTTAAAATTAAAGTTTAATAAATGTGTAATTTGCCCTCTTTTTGTACATGTATTTAGTATCTATACTTGCTCAAATCTTTCAATATAAGCTTTAGAATTGATTAATATCTGACTTGAAATACTTTTGACAACTCTTCTGCACTAAGGTTGAACTCCCACAACAATCGCCTGTGTGACTTGGAATAGCAAATATCATTGTCAACAGTGACAGTGAGAAAATATTCCATATGTATGATTTATGTGTTGACAAGCTTTTACACACAGCACCATGTTTCTGCTCTGGAGACATCCACAGCACGCCAGTGTTGGTAGCAGCTTAAAAGACATGAGACTGGGCACAAAGTAAAGATCTCCTCCAGCGCTGGCACAAGTCTCTGTAGCCGTGACTGTGTCCCGTGAGGAGCAGGGTATTATCAGCAGACAGCAGCACGCAGGGCTTGGATCGGGCTTCCGGGCTGAGGCCACGTGGGCTGAATGCCAACGATGTTCGGCTCCTCTCCTTCAGAGCCGATTGGCCGCGCTGCCGTAACACAATAGTACAAAGGCTCTATGTATCAACGGCTGGATCCCACAGCAATGGTCCAGTCGAGGTATTCTGCTCGGTCTGCTACATAGGGACCTTGTATGACACCTGTACACCATTCACATGTCCCGACTGTGGGACTAATAAAGGCTTCATTCATTCATTCATTCATTCATTCATATAGTTTCATTTATTTCTGTAATTCGTGTTTTTAACGCGTTAACACAAATTATTATTAACCCTGCACATTTTTTATTGCACAATTAATTTGTGGGACCAACTTTACTTGCATTTTTTTGTACATATGGATAGCAATAGCCTGGTTTTACCATACCCTCGTACTTGTTTTGTACAGAGCGTCACATATCCAATAAATCTAGTAAGTGCAGTGCAGAGGTTGACAGCTAAAGAGAGCACTTCCTAACAGTTGAAAACACACATAAAAGTTTAATGCTAAGCTGGCAGAAGGCAGCTGGCAGTAAGGGAACGAGGAGACCTATTTTCAGAGTGGTAAAAAGGCATTCATAATTCACCCTATAGTTTTTGGATGAGTGTTATTGTCTTGCTGCTGCTGTCTAACATGAGGAGGTGGCGGAGGCAGACGCAGAACTCCCATGATGTCAGAGGGGCACGCTCAATGACAAGAAAAGCATCGCTCTAATTGAGTGTTTGAATTTAAGTAACGTGACATGCAAAAAATAAAAAGGGTGTATTTGAAGGGAGTAAATAGAACTACATTTTTTATAATATTTGTCAGTGTAAATGTAGTTGTGTATTTCGTTATGTTTAGGCTGGACTAAATAATATTTGTTTAATGTGGATAGGAGATTATGTTTGGCCTGGTTTGTTGATAAAACTCTGAAAATTACATTATTGTTCTAAAATGTATTTGCAAACTACACACAGAAAGGGCCTGTCTGGAGGAGGAATTGAATCCAGGACCATCTTGGTGAGAAACACAAGTGCCAAGTGACATATGCCAAGCCTTTATAATCTTGATGATTACATTTCAGTTTAGAGTCCATATAAAAACATATCTGACATATTATATGATTGGGGTTTTTAAAAGCTGTGGGTGTCATGGTGTGGATTTGTTTTTGTTTTGGGTTTTTTTGTACTTAATTTTTCTGTGGTTTTAAGCTTAGTTTGACTTCTGGTTCCCTTGTGGTGATTGTCTGCCCCACCCGAAAGTGTTTCACCTGTGACTGTGTCTATGTGTACCCTATGCTCCTCTCTCCTTGTTGCTGGTCCATTGTATTGTCAATGTCTGGTCCGTTCCGTCCTGTTCCTTGGATTTTTTTGAGTTTTGTTTTTACCTTGGACTTTTTCAAAATCACTATTTTGCATTCCCGCTTTTTGAGTTTTCCTCCTTTCCACCACATGACAGAATGGACCAGCCATCACAATTTTTCCCCACACCTGCTCCCGGTTCGTCACCAGTCACCAGGTTTTCATTTGTTTTTGCTGTATTCCTTCACTGCCTACATCTCAAACTCACCGCCAGGCAAAAAACTCAGTCTGGGACGGTTATCTGTCCTGCACTACAGCCTGGTCCTCTGTTCCCCTCCCCCTGACCTGTTGAGAGAGGTACCCAGTGGAGTCCTGGTCGAGATGCTCCCCCTTTGTGTTTGCGTTCCGCCCTTCAATATGACCTCTTCTTCCCCTCACTTTTTGCCACCACCAGACAATGATCTCTGTCTGGGGTGATTCTGCCCTGTCTGAGTCACTGCTGCGCATATGTCTCCATCCGGGGTGAGCCAGTTCCCAGGTCACTCACAACCATGCTTCAGCTGCAGCCCCTGATTTGTTTGGTCCCTGCTGCTGACCTCCTCTGGTCCCTCCTCCGCACCCCCTCCACCCCTCCTGGCTCGAGTTCTGTTTTTGGGACATCTGGGAGCTGTCCCCTTGGAGTGAGGGCGTACTGTCATGGGATTTTATTTTTGCACTTGGTTTTATTTTGACTTAATTTCTCGGTGGTTTTAAGTTTAGTTTAGACTTCTGGGACCCCTGTGGTGATTTTCTCCCCCGCCTGAATGTGTGTAACCTGTGTCTGTGTCTATGTGTACACTATGCTCCTCTCCCCTTGTCCATGGTATTGTCAATGTCGGTTCTGTTCTGTCCTGTTACTTGTTCCTTGGATTTTTTTATCCTATCAACAATGCAACGAATAAAGGCATTTCCCTGCATGTAACATCTGGGTCTGGTCCCTGTGTTTGCGATTACATCAGTTGAATTCCATCCGACCAATCAGCGAGCGCGGGAGGCGGGTGTTGTAGTTAGATGCAGGTGACGTCAAGAGTTTGCACCAAACGGGCAGGTTGTAGATTGGCAATGGCGAAGAATGCGAAAATAAAATATTCCGGTCTGGTTCTATCAAGAAATTGAAGCCGGAGCAAGTGGAACGTTTAGCAAATGTAATTGCTGGCAAAAATTGTGGCGCTACTCCCCACAGGCTCCGTTAGCGGCAAAGGAGATGGCTAAAGCTAGGCTAAATGCTAAATGCTAACGACTCACTCGGGCACATAAAATACGTGAAGGTAAACTAAGATCCAATCGTTTCAATCTGCAAAAGGAGTCCCACCTGTTAACGGAGCTCAATGGAGCACCTCCAGACCTTAGTACAAAATGTCATTTGGACTATGGTGTGGTGCGACAAGGCTAGTAATTACTTTCTTTTACAATAAAAGAAGTAAAAGAACTTTTGAGCGATATTCTGAAAGTTCCCCACTGTGGGACGAATAAAGGATCCCTTAATCTTATTCTAATTTTCCGAGTTTCACCATGATTGAAAGATTTAGAGAAAGAAATAGGACTAAAAATACTTATCCAATGAGAAGTACCAAATTGTCCAAATCAATGGGGAACTAAAGAGGTTTGCTTTAAGTTTTTAATAATAGATGCCCAACGATCGTTTATGAAATAAATAAAAAACTTGATGGAAAGACACAGGGGAGGACGTAGAAAACCAGATCACAATAATCCTCATCCATTACAGTCTGGATGCCATGTTATTCAAACATTGAATAATGAGTGTTGTCAAAAATTGAAATGTGACAAACACCGCAAAAACAAAACACACACCACTGCTGTTTCAAAGGGACCACCAAACAAGCCACAGCTCAGTGTCGTCTGTGCCCGGCCTGCTGGGAAACACATGGAAACCACAGACTTGATTCAGGGAAAGACTTTGTAAACCACAGTGAACACCAGCTGACAGGAAAGGCAGGATACAACACAGACGTGATGTGGAGAAAGAAATCCCAACCAACAAAGCATCAACATCTGGAGATGGCTCTGCTCCTGACAGGTTGACCTGAAGACAAGTAGCATTGGAAGGGTGGGTGGAATGCAGAGACAATAAAGTCGTATCTCATGAACAAAACAAATGTGGGTAGAACAGGATGCATAGCTCAAGATTTTCAAGCTTTTTCAAGTAAATTTATAAGAGCTCATAGCAACTTGACAAACCCGCATTAAAGAAGCTAGCGATTTTTTTTCTAAGTAGTTCATAAAAATGCTTATTACTACAGTACATACAAGTTGTATTATAATCCATAATTTAATTGAAAACTGGAGCTCATTGATTCAGCTTGTGTATGAATTCAGGCCGTGAAAAGTGCTGGGTAGAGACTTAGCGGGACGCTCGTTCTCCTCCACACACAGAACGAGCAGCGAACATATTTCTTAAAATATAATATAATAGCGAAAAAATATCAAAATGTGCGACAACCTGAGCCAATGGGAGATTGGGACTGGCAGCACTTGAAGATGGGTGGGCCCAACCACATTCAAAAAGTCTGCCAGGCTCACCTCGCAGTATAGCAGCCTTTTAAATAAATATCATATTTTTGCACATGATTGCCACCCCAACCCAGAAATGGACTAAAGGGAAGAAAATGGATGGATGGATGATGTATAACATCCCAAGTAGCCCATTACCATAATTTCTGATAATTAATCATAATTAAAAATCATTTCAGGGGCGAAAAAATGGTCACCACAGAGCAGCGCCCAATGACTAATCTTCAAAGGTGGATGCTCAGCTTGACCAGGATTACCAGAGCAGGAGGATTTTTTATGGTGCATGTTTTAAAGAAAAAAAAAAAAAAATGCACCATAAAACTACTACTAAAGTTTTTAGCAGCATTGATAACATCGTTCACCTTTCACCTGTGACAGTCACTCTAGATAATATGATTTCCCATTGTAATGAATGAGCCGACTCCAGGACTCAGAGCATGTTTGGGAAGGTGAAGTGAAATCTATGTCTAATGTGCTATCATGCTATTTCAGCTAAATACACGCATGGTGATACAAAAGCGTTCCAAGGAAAATATATTAGACTTAGTAAAAGTATTGTTTTCAAATATTCTAGCATTCATGTCCAGTATCTGATGTATTGTTTTGGTCAGAGCCAAGCCCAGAATCAAATGCACAGCAGAGTTAGACTAATTTGCAGCACGTTTTGTAAACATGAACATGAAATATTAGACGCTCAAACAATTTATAAGACATTTCCAGTTTTTCTTTCTCTAAATGTTAAAGCATGCATGTGTTTTGTTACAACTAAAAAGAGAAAACAAAGGAAATGTCAGGTGCAGTGAGCCTCCAATGAAACACTAAAACTCTGTAAACAGTTACCAAGGACTTTGCTTTTGGCTTTTTATTAATCACCCGGTAAACAGGTCCCTAGAGCTGCATCGCGGTGTATTGTTGGTTCAGTTAATATGGAGTTTGAGGATCAGGCAGTGCCTCCTAAGCACCTTGGCATTTATTATTTATTAGGCTTGTTTTTCTCTTTAACAAGGTTTGATGAGCAGTTTTATACTGAAACACTGGAGAGGTACAGCTGATGAATACAAAATAGAGAGTTTATGTGGTTCATCGAGAGTGTGTTGCAGTTGAGATATTACAATATTTGAGTGCAGAGAAAAACTACTTTACTATAAATGAAAATAAACCGGATTTTGCAGGTAATCCATTGCATGTTGTAACCAGATGATATAGTTTAAACACTAGATAAAAAGCATTAAGTCCTGAGAGGTGACATCCAATAAACTTTACCACAAGTTTACAATCACCAAAAGGCAAAGATAAAAGTATTTATCTGAAGTGTTGCAAATATAAAAACTGCGCTCAGGACGAAGGCTTCATAAAGAATGTATCTCGCAGGCATCAGCTGTGTTACAGTTCATCCATCATCAGCTCTTTACAGTAGAACAGTGCCAAATGGCTGAGCTGCTTCAATCATTCATTAAATATGTGGCTCATAAACCTCACCCAGGCAGCGTGTGTGGAGACGAGTCCTCGTGACTGTAAGGGGACAGGAGCCACTATTTCTGCAACGTGCATAGACATTATGGATGGTGTTTAACGCTCTCCCTGAGGCTCGGGTTTAACTTGAGAATCCAATAAAGATAAATTGTTGCTGTCCACTCAATAATTGAACATGTAATATGCATATAACTCTACAGACTTCAACTTAAGATAGAAATAATTCATATTTGGTGGAATCACAGTGGGACATGAGGAAAAGTGAGCTAAAAGTGTTCAACATGAGCAGAAAGCTTATATGTGTAAATGGTCCAGTAAAAGGCCATCTGCTCACAGTCGGCAGGGCTATGAAAACAACTCAAAATATGACCACCACAACACAGACTGGGATTTGAGCCCTTTCATGTAGGCACTAGGGAAGGCACAATCAATAGGACTGTTGCAGAATGTCCAATTGTTCAAATCCATCCCTATTTTATATGAGAAAATACGCTGTTTGAGGGAACAAATCCAGAACTACAGTCGGATTGCAACAGAGAACACTATGAACGTTGCTAACAAAACGGAGCTGACTGGTAAACATCAGACTGGGTGAAAAACGCTCCACTACACCTGAAGTTCTCAAAATGTGTGAGTCAAAAAAACTGAGGCCCGGTCATTAGTCCATGCAGTTATTGAGAGAGTGGCAGGTTGTGATATTCCCTTCTCAGACAGGCTTTATATTCTGGGGGATCCCACAACCATGACAGGTTTGCCTTAAACTATTTCACAATGGGCTCAAACTACCATCATGATGGGCAAGAAGCTGCTAGTAGCTCAGATGGAACTAGAAGCGTCTGCCAGCCAATGGCACGCAGCACTTGGCCGTCTTGCAGCTATAGAGAGACTATCTTACAGGCTATTGGACAGAGTTGAAGATTATGAGAGAACAGCTCAGTGGCGTCTCCGGCTCAGGAAAAATATGTTCTTTACAATGTGGTAATATTCCTTTTTTTGTATATGCTGTGTATCGAAAAACAATAGTTGAGTGGGCTTCATTTTTAAGCTTTAGCCATCATTTAATTTAGGTTATTTTTTAGTGTTTTATCATCTATATATCCATCCATCCATCCATTTTCTAAGGTAAGAAGATGCTATATGTTAGCATTGGCTAATTCTTATTCCGGGTCCACTCCCATCGGCCCGGGGTGGTATTGCAAGCATGTCAGCGCACGTCATTTCGGCCACTTTTGAGCCGAAATGACAATCTATATTGTTATCAGCAGCCACTAAAAAGGAATAAAGGGATATATAAGGGAATATTAAAAGGGCATTCAAACATATCTGCACAAGGGAAAAAACTACATAGAAAAAATATTGTCAGAATTCATTATTTCTTTCAATTAGCGTATCCAAAGATAAAAAACAGCTGTTTGCTGATACATGTGCCTAGACAAATAAAACGGAGTTCACCTTAAATGCAAGGCAGTCAGAGGTTCTGACACGACATGATGTATTACTGAACGTAACATTTATGTCACATTTCCTATATCCCCCTGCTAACCCCAGACTATGACAACTCCAACAATACATTTCAAAAGAAGATACAGCGGTGCGCAGGTTAGATCTGACCTTCTCTCTGCGGTGGATGGAAGGAGAGCGACAGTTTCTCGCACTCCTGCTGCCAGCTTCTGCTCCTCCTACAGTGTGGAGCCATAAGAACTTAGTCATATAGCTGCAAAGACGTCTTGTCATTTAAATAGGACAGCTCACTGGAGTGCACTTCAACGGAGCCACACAATTCATCATCCCCACTGCTAACCCCTCCTGTCACTTTGAAAGCGGTCAAACGCAAGAGTGTTTTGTCATCGCAGAGGGCTGTGGGCGCTCATTCAGAAAAGTATTTCACAAGCATGAAATAGCTTTTGATTGGAAAGCAATGGGAAAGGGGTTGAGAGGGCATTATTGAATCAAAGTTATTTGAACAGAGTGAGATTGAAATCTGGTTGGTGATGCTCTGTGACAATACATTGTAAAAGGGATATCAAAGCAATTCATGTTGGTGAACGAAACAGTTGACTGGAATAACGATTATGATTTTTTAGAAGTTAAGTCCATAATAATAATGACCATTAATATGCAGCGAGATGACCTTTGTTTCAACTCATTTAGTTTGAGCCATAGAATAGGCTTTAGTGGATCCAACTAATAGAGAGCTCTAACAGATTGAAGGCTGCTCAGGCGCGAGTGAAAGAACGATGCATTTGGATCTAAGCTCCTTCATTGGAATTCTATAGTCGTCTCATAGCAAACAAAGAGCCACGCTGGAGCACAACTAATTGTGATCATTTTGCAGGACAAAGATGTTCACTTGCCATCTATATAATTAAATAGGATTAAGATTAATAACACAAACTCACAGAAATATTGAGCCTGGTGCAATTTATCGGCCACAAATGCACTAAAAAGAGCAAATACACTAAACTCAATATTTGAAGAATAAAAACTGATCATTAAATAAAATGAGATGAAATTCAAGTGACAAGTGAGAAAAGAATGAATGAGAAATGATTAAAAAAAGTTGATTTTCACATGTCGGGTATTGAGAATGGGGCTAGTTTCCTGGCCACTTTTTCCATTAGATGTAGGTGGGGAATATTAGAGACTTCCTGCTACTCAAAAAAAAAAAAAAACAATAAAACAGCTGAGCCGGTGGGCCGTATAACAGCGCTTAAGAGAGGAGTATTGGACTGTTTACCCTTCTACAACAAAGAGTACTTCACAGCTGACCTTTACAACCACTTGACTTCAGTTTTGTGCTGCTGAGATAAGGTTGTTGCCAATTGTTTTGCTGAAGCCAAAACAATGCAAACATTTCTCCAGCAGCTTTCTATCCATACACTTGAGATCTCTTTCCTGTGTCTTTCCCATATGCTCATTTCAAGCTAGTATTGCTATTACGGTTGAGCACAAGCTTGCAGGAATAAAAAAGGAATGACTGTAATCAAGCACTCTTGATACTCTGGGGAATATTAGGACAAACACTGCAGGGCTAGTGTAGCAGTATTGCTCAGCATCAGTGCCAGCTCCAACTAATGCTCTTGAACTTTAGCAAATCTCTGCAGCCTGAATTTAAATGCTGTGTGAGTACTGCTCACCAGGGGATCCAGGGGTAGAATACAAAATAGAGACATTTGGCGATATGATGTCATATAAAATGTAAATGAAGATTTTTAGGCAACACATGTCCGCATGTACAGTATATTTAGAATATACTACATACTTATTGTGAAACATTGTCTTCAAAATAAATCAATAAACTACAATACTACACCAAAGTCACCTTTCATGTGAACATTTTCCGCAACCCTGCCAACAAACAAACACACAAATCCACACACAGAGACAATTACAATACCCACTGTTGCCAAGGTAACTAACCTTAACATTGGAGCTAGCTGCAGATGCAGATAGAACTAAACTACTAAAATTGTACTTAGATTGCTAAATATACTCATATGTGCAGCAGAGCATGAAATAGAGGAAAGATACAGAATATCAAGGGAGAGAATCTTCTGACCTGGAGAGAGGCAAAATGTCACAGCGACTCCACACAACGCACTGCTTTTGTTGTAAAGACAGAGCTGCGGCGCAGCTTTTGCCATAGGCCTGCCTCCTGTCTCCAACACATCAGATAGGCGTCTTCTGACGCCTTTACTTCTGAATTGCAAGAGCAATTTGAATCATTGGCAAGCCCTTCATTGATCTAAACCACGGGTAGTTCCAGAAAGAGCCAGTGTGGCTGCAGGTTTTTTCTTCCATCCAAGTCAGAGCACATTCAGACTCCACCAATTTCCTCAAGTGAGTCCAGTTTTAACCTGAAGGCCTGCGGAAATGGGTGGAGTCTTGGCTGTTATTCAGTGAGACGGATTGTTTTGGTCAGGTTTTTCAAGACTCGCAGTTGAGTAAACAACGAGACATCCACCGTCTGTCATGGAGAGTGGGAGGGGCCGGGACGTCACATGCACGGGGTCAATAGCCTATAGTTTAAGCTATAGTTATAGCTATAGCCTATAGTTTAAAGTTTTTTTCTTCTTTGTTCCTTCGGCTGTCAAACTGTACAACAGACCTGGATGAGTCTTCTGCTGCTGGAACCTGAATGTCTCCTACGGGGAATCAATGAAGAATCTATCCAACTCTAGATAGGACAAAAGATGAGTCCTTTATTTAAATGGACGAGCCAATTTAAAGCCACCCTGTGTAATTCTTACAGCTGCTCCATGTGAAAAAACATGTTAACTAATAACAAATATGACCTTTTTAAGAATATTTGCTTCCACCATGGTTTTTGAATTGTATTCATAGAATTAGAATTTAACTTATAAGTGTCCAGGAGAGCTGAGGACTATCCATGTCAATGCGCCATCTTGGAAAACGGTGGTGGATAAGGGACAAAAAGGATGCGAGAATCGCGTTTTCGTTTCACTTGAGCTACTGATATCGTTGATTTCACCGTGCCTTCACAAGTTGGAAGAAGGAACCATGGAGGACCACAGTTATGTAAAAGAACGATCTGAACAACAATCTTTTAGAAAAATAATTATGCATAAGTCCAGCGTCATTGCAGCAAAGTGTAAACATCGCAAACCACACGCACAAAGACAGCGTTAACACAACAGAAGGCACATTGTGTAGTTTGTACACAACAGACTCACACCTGGACAATACGTACTGTAACTTTTTCACACTGACAATAATAAGAACGAGGCAGACTCGACAACACAGTCTCAGGATGTTCTGACCCGATCCGAGCGCAGTCCAACTACTATGTCACAAGTTTCAACTAAACCTATTCAAGGAAAAAGCCTCAAATAACACAGAATCAGAATCAGAATCATTTTTATTGCCACGTAAGCAAGTCACAGACTTGGAAATTGCTTTGGCTCAGTGCAACAGTCAGAGAGAGATAATAAAAAATAAAGAATAAAAAACACTTCTAAGGAATACATTTAAATTTAAAATAGAGTTACAGTTACTATTTACAATATACAAGTGCACATGGTGCACACAATGTAAGGTGACAGCAGTACAGTGAAGTAAAGTGACGTATGATGGGCAGTAAAGTGACTTTATAAAGGGCGGGGGGACAGGTTAAGAAGTGTTCAAGAGTCCAACAGCAGAGGGGAAGAAACTGTTCTTGTGGCGGGAGGTTCTAGTCCTGATGGACCGCAGCCTCCTGCCTGAGGGGAGTGGTTGGAATAGTCCATGTGCAGGGTGAGAGGGGTCGGCTGTGATACGACCAGCCCGGCCTCGAGCTCGGGCGACGTACAGGTCCTGCAGCGATGGAAGGCTGCGGCCAATCACTTCCTCTGCAGAGCGCACAATGCGCTGTAGTCTCTGTTTGTCCCTGACTGTGGCTCCAGCGAACCACACGGTGATGGAGGAGGTGATGGAGGAGGTGACGGAGGAGGTGAGGATGGACTCGATGATGGCCGTGTAGAACTGCACCAACATCTGTGCAGGCAGCTTGGCTTTCCTGAGCTGCCGCAGGAAGTACATCCTCTGCTGGGCCTTCTTGATGAGGGAGCTGATGGTTGGCTCCCACTTGAGGTCCTGGGTCATGCTGGTGCCCAGGAAACGATAGGACTCCACAGAGGTGATGGGGGAGTCCATCACGGAGGGTGGGGGCGGGGGGACAGTGCTCTTCCTGAAGTTCAAAATCATCTCCACTGTCTTCTGGGCGTTCAGCTCCAGGTTGTAATACACACACAGAATCCCCACAAAACAATCGCCAGAATACTTTATCAGCAGCGTGAGTGAATGTTTTGTTTTATTACCGTGATGCAGAAAGGGCGCTGTGGCTAACGCTAATGCTAACATGAGCTTTTAGCCATGTCCTGCCGCGGCTGTGTTTATGTCCTGCTTCTTTGATCATCGTAGTTTTAAGCCCCCACAGACTTTCATACTCCATGCATCTCTTCTCTTCACGCGTGGTAAAACTCAGTAGAGCCTCTGTGTAGGGTGCCGCGTCTGAACGCGGTCATTAATCAAACTAAAGTATTCTTTCCTTGGCAGTCTGGTGAATGACTGAGAGTTGAGGAGCACTGTCAAACACTATAGGCAACAGTGCTCCTCAACTCAAAGGCACCTATAATATATTGGACTGCAATATAAGATCTCAACGCTAGATGGCACTAAAAAGTACACAGTGTACCTTTAAATCTAGGCATGTTAAAGGACTTGTATATGCTCCTCCAGTATGCCTCTGATCTATTTTGGATCATAACACAATGTGGCATAACTATTTTCTCTTAATGTAAATATTTTACTGATTTCATGTATTGAATAGTGGTTTGCAAATTCTAAAATGTGGCAAGCCTTGTGCCGCACCGTGCCTCGGCTGCTGCAAAGTGTGATTCGTGGAGCTGCTGGCATGTGGTAAAAGTCCTGCTGATTGATTCTAAATGAACAATTTAATGTATCTGATTTCAATTGGAAGTGTTTTTTAATCAGTTTTTTTAATCGCAATATAGCGTTTTAATTTCTAGAATAAAAAAGTATTGCTCAAACATTTACAGAATTCTCATCACTCAGTATTTGAATTCTTAATGGAATATTCAATATTGAAATAAACAATGGCACATTAATGCATGTTTTAAATGAGCATTTTACTGCCCCATCTTATCAACCTATAACTTTTAGACAAATTGTCCAAATGTTCCTTGGAAAAC